ACAACTGCCCTCCCCTGCTGGCCATCTTGTGGCTGTGGGCACTGCCATCTTTGAGGGCAGGGCAGTCAATTAGCATATTCCCTCCTTATTGGCTGTGGGTGTCACCATCTCTGAGGACATGGCAGTCAATTAGCATATTCCCTCTTTATTAGATAGGAAGAATATTTCCTCTTTATTAGATAGGATAATCTGCTGCTGGTATTTTCATGGTCTTACCAGAGAAAATGATTGATTTTCACATAGCTATGTATAAGTGGTAGCAAATATGAAACATTATTAGTGGTAAGATATATTTTTATTTCAGAGATTTTAAATAGGTGGTATGTGGGGCAAAAAAGGGTACATCTTAGAAAGGACAAAAAGCAGAGGTAGATAGATGGATGTGACTTAAGAAATAAAGATATTTAATTGTTTCATATAAAAAATCTGGAGATGGGCAATTCCAATGTTTATGTAGCAACCCTAGGTCCATGGTTTCTCTGCTTGATCTTAGCTTCATGACTGTTATGTGTTCAAACCAGTAATGGCGTTTTATCATTTATTTTTTTGTGGGGGGTGTTATGTTGGGTGGGGAGGCAAACAAATGTGCTTTGTCCTTGTCAGGGTCTGTCTTTCTTTGGAAGTGACAGTGAAATTTCCCTTTATTTCTCAGAAGCCAGAAGAGGATCATAGCAAAGGGTTAATGACTGGCTTAAGTTAATCATGAACTCATCCCTTTGGGATTGGAAAAAGGACCTTACCTTCTCTAAGACAAAGTGATATCTTCCTTTTACAAAATCTAAGAAGTAGGGGAAATAGGCAATAAAATGTGCACAACATCAATTTTTCATAAGTGTATTATATATACAATATTCCCTGAGAAGGCTCTTTATATCATTTTTTTAAATTTCCACATTGTTTTCTTCTTTCTGTTTTAGTTTCATGTTTTCTTCCTTTTGTTTTAGTTTCGTGTTTGTTTCTTAACATGGGTTTTGCCTTTATATGAAATTACGATTTTTACTTTTAATTTCTAAGCCTAATTTCTAGGTTTAGAAAGAATTCCTTCCTTACTCTGCAATTCCAAAAACCCTTTTATATTTCATCTAGCTTTCTTTATAGTTTGAAAAGAGTTATCAATAGGGAATTCTTTCTCATTGATACAATGTCAAATTCTGTATAAAATTTCTAAGATAAACAAAATTGTTTTCTTAATTTTTAGGGAACCTAGAAAAGTTGTTCTTCATCGTGGCTCAACAGGCCTTGGTTTCAACATTGTAGGAGGTGAAGATGGAGAAGGAATATTTATTTCCTTTATCTTGGCTGGAGGACCTGCTGATCTTAGTGGAGAGCTCAGAAAAGGAGATCGTATTATATCGGTAGGATATGTTAATCAAAGTAATGTGTGTGTTTTTATTTTAACTATGACCTATTATTAAAAATTTTTGTTTTTACATCCTAAAGTTATGAGATATTTTAGTTAATCTTACCATTTTACAGCTTAATTGTAGAATTATAGTGATGTCAGAGAACATGATCTATATGACAGATTTTATTTTGATATTTGGCTTACTTATAAGTGTCATCTTTATAAATGTCTTTTATACTATGTCTATTAACTCAACCTATGTCTTTATATGTCTATTAACTCAACCTTGCTGCTTGTTTAGTTTAGATTTTTGTTTTAATCTGTTGTCTGCTTAACATATTATTTAAAAAGATTTTTTTAAGCTGCCTGAATGTGATGATGTGTTTAGCACTTTGTCCTTATAGAGTTTTTTTTTCATTGTATGTATGAAACTATGTTATTAAATGCACTAAATTTAGAATCATCATTTCCTCCTAGTGAGTTGAACTTTTTGATCCCCTTTATTTATAATAAAGGTTTTTATCCTAGAAGGTATATTGCTGATATTAATGTGACTGCTAACATTTTTGCTTGATATTCACCTCATGTTTTCTTCCCTTTTTACTTTCAATTTGTCTGTGCATTTATGTGGCTGTTGTCCATACAGTTTTATACTAAAACTGATCAATAATTCTACTGTTCTACCTAATGGCTCACAGACTTTGGGAAACTTTAATTCTAATGATCTGTTTCTAGTATTTTACTTCTGTTTCACTTTTATATCCCCCAAACTGAGTCATTTTTATTTTTTTTAACAGTCAATCCATTCTTTCATTTTTTTGTTCTTATATTTTCTTCTGTGTTTTTTAGTGGGCCACTAACAGCATTGGGATTTGTTTTTATTGTATAGGACTGTCTTGTTCATTGTAGAAAATTTAGCCTTTTAAGCTCCCATTCTCTTGCTAGTAGAACTCCTTAGTTATTTTAAGAAGCAAAAGTGTCCCTCAAATATCCAGATGCACCTTAGTGGGAGCCTTGGATTATTCTTTAGCAGTGATTTTTTTTTATAATTGATTGATTGATTTGAGAGAGAGAGGATGAGAGAGAAACATCGATTATTGTTCCACTTATTTGTGCCTTCATTGTTTGATTCTTCTATGTGTCCTGACCGGGGATTGAACCCATAACCTTGGCATATCGGAATGATGCTCTAACCAACTGAGTTTCCTGGTCAGGGGCCAGCAATAATTTCTTGATGATAAATACTCTTAGAGTTTGTCTGAAAATATCTTTATTTTACCCTGGTGTGTAAATATAATTCAGTCTAGAATTCTAGGTTGACAGTTGTTGTCTAGTACTTTGAAGATACTGCTTTATGCATGCTATTTGGAAAATAATACAATAATTAATAAACAGTAATACAAGAATAAACTCCGTTTCACACACTCACAACCATAAATCTATTTTTGTCCCACCCTGCATGCTATTTTGTTTTTAATTAAAAAGTGTAGGCAACACTTTAAAATTGTAAGATCTGAGATATAGCAACAAACCTATATCCTGTGTCGCCAATAATATTCAATATTGATGACTATTTAAATAATTTCTTATAAATCAATAGAGACCTTTTCAACTACATAATATAAAGAAAACAAAATTTGAAAATACTCCTCAAACTGAAGGTATATGTTGCTGGAACAGGATAAGAAAAGCATTCAAAAATGTACATTGTATCTTTTTACAGTTTTCTATCAATCAATCCCTCTTGCCACCTAATCCTTACCTGCACATACTTAACATGTATCACCATATTCCTGCAACCTATATGTGACAAAAGACTTGGAGGAATTGAGGTGGGAGTTATAAAACTTTTCTATCTCTTGTGGCAGTTGCTACACAACATTTAAAATTGTCAAAACTCTTAACTGTAAACTAAAAAAAGATTAATTTATTGAAGATAAATTATGCCTAAATAAAAATAGATGTTTAAAGTTATAACCAAGTATCATATCTACCCAGTTAAATGATTTTTTAAAAATTGATGATAATAAAACATTGGTGAGGGCATGGAGTAATTGTAACTCTCATTCATTACTGGTGGACAGATAAAATAATACAATCACTACAAAAACTTTTGGGACGTTTTCGAGAAATTAAAAATATATCTAACCTTACCACCCAGATTTTACCAACAAAATCATATATCTACAAAAATCACTTTAACAATAATGTGTGTAACAGACTTATTCATAATAACCCAGATTTTGAAATAATTTGTGTTCATCAATAGTAAAGTAGCTAAATAAATTGTTATATGTTTATACAATATGCTTCACAGCAATAAAAGTTAACTACTGAAACTCAAAACAACATGGCTGACACTAAAATACAACATGTTGAATAAAACAAAACACCACAGAAATGCATGCTATATTATTCCAGTTACATGCTAATCATGAGCATGCAACACTAATTTGTATTAATAGAAGTCAGAAAGTTGGTGCTGGTAATTGTACTGACTATAATAAAGAGACACAATGGAAATGTGGATTGGTTAATGGAGAGGTATATCTTGTTTGGGGTTGTGATTACGTAGGTGCATACAGTTGTTGAAAATTCTTCCAACTGAACTGTTGAAATTCGTACATTTTCTTTCTTATAAATTATATTGTAATTTAAATTTTTAAAATAAGTTACAGTATTGCCCTGGTCAGTGTTTTAAGTGGTTAGAGCATCAACTGCACACCAAAGTCTCACAGGTCCTAATACCAATCAAGGGCACATACCTGGGTTGCAGGTTCAATCCCCAGCCCTGGTCTAAAAAACTCAAAGGAAAATAGATGTATTTTGAATTGTCAATGAGGGACCACTTTATATGGGTCACTGACACACTGCCAGATTATGTTAGTCTGACTAATACAACCTGCTTCACTCAGAACTTTCCCAGTTTTAGTACTGAAAGCTTTGTCTGGAAATCCCTTTAGTCTCAATTTTAAAACTGAACATCTCAGATAGTGCAGCCCAATTGTACATCCTAATGTGAGTGTAAATTAAGGACCTGTATAGCCTTGTTTGGCAGTATGCATCAGTAACCTTAAAATTTCAATGCTTATAAGCTTCTCTATGGAAATACACTGAAAGCAATAGGAAAACCTATGAACAAGAGAAAAACATGAGAAAATATATTCAAAACTAAATAAACCTTGAAACAAACTTATTTAAATACCTCATTAGACAAATTTAACTTTTTTCAATTTTCAGCTTGTATCAGAATCACCTTGAGGCCTTGTTAAAAGATCGATTTCTAGACCCCATCCCTAAACTTTCTGATTTAGTATAACTTGAAGAGGTTCTGAAATTTATATTCTTGACAAGTTTCCATGAGATACTGATATTGCTACCCCTAGAATCAAACTTTGTGAACCACTCTTGTAAAGACATCACTGTTGTTTATTTTTAACTAGAGGCCCGGTGCACAAAAATTTGACCTGTCAGTTGGTTCTTGGAACACCCTACTTTTAAGATTCTCTGTATTTGACCTTATTCAGAACTCCACCACTACAAAAGCCTGTCAAAACAATTACAGGCCCTGGCTGATGTGGCTCAGTTGGTTAGAGTGGCTTCCCTTGTACCCAAAGGTCCCAGGTTTGATTTCCAGTCAGGGCACATGCCTGGGTTTCCATCTCTTTCTCCCTCCTCTCTAAAATCAATAAAATAAACAATTTCAGGCACATTATGGCTGCTTAAGACATTGGATAACAGTTGAGGCAAACAGTAGACTAATCAAAAAACTTAAAAGGAAAAACTGGGAATGAGATCTCCATAGAGCCTCTGAAAAGTTCTGACATATTCCTTGGAATCTGACATATTCCAGGACATTTGCATGTTCTGGATTGTGTGCATGCTCAAGAAAGACCTGAAAACTCCCTAAATTCTCACCTCTGGGTGACCATAAGGCTCTGTGTAAGCAGGAAGTGAAGATTAAGGCAGTTATTAGTTGCTTACCCGAGTGTTGAAGACATTACCCAACATGCACACAGAGCCCTTCAGCAAAGAGTCCAGCCATTTAAATAAATCTCTGTCCAATTATTAACTGACTGCTAAAATAACCACGCAAAGACTCAGTAGCACACAACAAAGAATATAAATTTTAGAGCATTCAGAAATGTCATCAAAGGGATCTGTAGGAGGCCACAGATTTGATTTCCAGAGTTACTACATTATATTATTTTAAATGTTCCTTTTTTAACAAAAAAATTATGACATACACCAAAAACATGAAAATAATGGCCAAAGCCCTGGACAGGAGTTTTGAGTGTCAGCCAGTACAACAGAGGGTCACAGGTTTGATTCCCGGTCAAGGACACACACCTGGCTTGCAGGTTCATTCCCCACCTCTGATTGGGGTACATGCAAAAGACAATCTCT